TCACATGACCACCGAGCCGCTCCCACAAAACAGGCCACACCTACAGAATAGGTTCTAAAAATTTTGAAACCCACCCCTGGAACAGACATTTAACTGGCGACCTCCTAACTAGTAATTCAAAGTTTTACCTAATGCATTACACCTGCCAGGTAAATAGTCTTCCATGGTTTGCAGAATGGAAAGGAAATCCAGTACAGAAAAGTGTAATGTGATCACGACTGGACTTACTTTCATCACGACTGGACTGAGTGCTACTGCCTCTTTTCAGCGAGGCACTCCGACTGAGATGGCCAAGTGAAGATGGGCGAACTTCACTCTCCAGATCGAGCAGTGGACTATGTATCAATGGATTGACTAAATGGGAGAGTATATTGATTATTGGTGTTAGTTAATGCACAGTATTAGCCTTTATAATTTGCTGTTATCCATTAAAATAAACAGAAAAACCTCACAGATAAAGTGTATATAATTCTTGCAGCTTGATTACAACAAACAGGATTGGTTTTGTTTAATTATGCATACATACATTTCCTAATATGTCTCAAATCAGGAACTCTAATGTATCTTAATATGCTATTTAATTGTATTTCTTATATTCAGCAAGAATTGAGGTAAATAAAGAAAATATCTCCTACTAAAATGCACAAGAAATAATCTATTAATTATCTATGCTTCTGGTACTATTGAAATTGCTTCGATTTTTCAATTTCTAATTGTTAGAAGGGCTGCAGATAGTGTAAGAGCCTTATTGTTCACACATTTTTCAGTTAGATTATCTGCTAAATTAAAAAGAAAACCTCACAGATGAAGATAAAAGTAGTATCCAACACTGATTACAACAAACAGGATTGGTTTTACAAATAGTAGTTGGCTGCAAGTCTCAAATCTTCTCTCCCCAAAGCCTTTTTGCTGCTTGTACCTACTGCTTCAAGGCAGCAGTCTGGTAGTTTCTGCTGTTACCAAGAATCTTCTAGGCACCATCTAAATAAAGCTAAAGGTTCCCCTTGCACATATGTGCTAGTCGTTCCCGACTCTAGGGGGCGGTGCTCATCTCCATTTCTAAGCCAAAGAGCCAGTGCTATCCGAAGATGTCTCCTTGGTCATGTGGCCAGCATGACTAAACGCCGAAGGCGCACGGAACGCTGTTATCTTCCCACCAAGGTGGTTCCTATTTTTCTACTTGAATTTTTTTACGTGCCTTCAAACTGCTAGGTTGGCAGAAGCTGGAACAAGTAATGGGAGCTCACCTCGTTACGCGCCCTGGGGATTCAAACTGTTGACCTTGCGATCGACAAGCTCACTGTCTTAGCCACTGTGTCCTTTACTTACTATCTATAACTCTTAGGTGTATGAGAGTGAAGGCTTTCAAACTGCACATCCCGTCTGACCATTAAAAGGCCAGATTGGAAAAAAAAGAGTAAACTAATTTCAACAGTATCAGAACATAAGTGAGTGGAGTGTTTCCTTCTACCACTTTGGAAGATAAAGCCGTATCTGACAAACAAAATCAAGCTTTATTAAAAGAAAACACGAAAGGTAATTTTCTAACTGCAAATATCAAAATGTAAGGCATCCAATGTGGAAAAAGATGAACTGCAGGTTGTAGAGAATCAGGGAGAATCAGCCTTGAAGGAAATAAGCAAGCTGTTATATAAGCAAAGAGAAGAGAAACGTTTAAGTTCTGGGAAGCAAGATAATGTTCAGAGGAGACTCTGATAGGGTCCTGAAATTCATTCCATCCATCCATCCATCCATCCATCCATCCATCCATCCATCCATCCATCCATCCATCCATCCATCCTAAGTTTTTCCCATGGAGTCAGGGGTGGNAAGTCTTAAAGTTGCCAAGTTTGGGAAACACTGGATTATGGGAACCTAGTGAAGATTATAGAAATTTGAATCTGAGACAAACCCCCAATTCTTACTCTAAATTTCAGCTACTGCATCAAACAGGTTCACAAGGGAAAGAATGATTCCACCCCCCCCCGCCCGTCCCCCCAACTTCTCTGACCAGTTGGCTCTTCCTTAGGTTTTCAGAAAAATTAATCACCTGGTTTGTTAGCAAAAAATTATGACAAAAGATTAAATCACACTTGATATTTAAGCAAAAGAATGTTTGAATAAGCCAAACATTGTTTTTATATTCCCCATAAACTGCATATTGTCTAAATACCAAATGCAAATACTCTTACCTCACTAAATAAGCTTCCATTCACGTAAGAAATCCAAAGTTTCCAGAAATTGGGAAGCTGGCTTACTACAAGCTTAGTTAACTTTTCAACAAATGCTACTTGCTGAGGAGTTTTAAACCGCCAATCTGAAAAAGATACAAGATACCAATTCATTACCAGAAAATTGTTAAAGAGGAATTATATTTGTGATTGACATCGAGTGGTAATTCATAAACGCTAAAGAAATAAATATGTTAAATAGTGTTAAATAAGACTTGGCACCACACTGATTCACTTAGCAAATTTAAGTCTCACAGAAATGCTCATAGTAAGAGTTCAATTGACTGACATTTGCGAATCAAAATAAATTAATCCAATTAGCTGCTCTTTAAAAAAATCTGACGTCAATATACTTAAATACAGCTACCGTAAGCCAAATTAAGACTACATCATGAGATAATGAGAACAGACCAGGGGTGGGTTTCTCCCGGTTCTCACTGGTACGCGAGAACCGGTTCGTGAAATTTAGCATACCTTTTGGAAACTGTTCCAAAAGGGAGGAAGGAAAGAAGGAAGGAAGGAAGGGGGAGAGATACACACAGGAAAGGAAGAGATACACACAAGAAAGAAAGGAAGGAATGGAGGGAGAGGGAAAGAGAAAAAGAGAGAGACAAAGATAGAAAGAGAAAGAAAAAAGAAAGAAAAAGAAAGTGGGAGAGAGACAAGAAAGAAAGAAAGAAAGAAAGAAAGAAAGAAAGAAAGAAAGAAGTGGAGAGAGACAAAATGAAGGAAGGAAAGAAAGAGTGAGTGA